CTAATTCAGGAATGATTTCTTATTTTAAATGTTTCTCTGTATGTTAAGCTCACTAAGTGTTTACAATACGATAAAACTGTGTCTAAATGTCTAATATTGAGACGATGTACACTGGATGCAGATATAATACTAACCAAGAATGATCAAATATCAGTCAAAAGACCAATAACGAGAAAATGGAAAATATTACAGATTAAAACATACAGTTAAATTTTATTTTCTGCTTATTCACAATAATGACAATTCTCAATTTAAGGTACAGATACCCTCATGTTTATCAATGATGATAATAATTACAAACTCAATTATTCACATACATGTATTGATCGATATTGAACTATATGTAAATAGTTGAGATAAAATTAGTAGAACAAAATTTTCTAACTGTTATACCTGTAACTGTTGAAAACTACTAATATCACTTACTAACATTCATCTAACTCGGGAACCTCAACAGAGAATAAACAAAGAACAACTACTTGATTAGCTATTTTCAATTTAATCCTAATAAGACCTACTTCCAGTATTCTACTAACTAATTTTTATTGGATCTATTTTTTCTTTACAGACTTTGTACCTGTTTTTTCAGGTTTGATTTTACTTATGTGTTTAAAAATGTACATTCAACAGAAATGCTTTTGAGACATTGCCAGAGTTGGATGTGCGGTACCCGTTACCACATATTGATGACGCTGTGCATCTTCATCGATTAAGATAACATGAATATATATTGCTTGTGTTTAGCAATCAACTATCTTAACTGGTTGAATGAGGCTACAGAAAACCAAACGGCATCACCTCAGAAGAACATTGAAATCGGGATGTAGGCTTTTTTAAAACTTTCTGTTTCTATTCTGCTGGATAGAAGTAATCAATGAACGAAGAACTCAGGCAGCATGACTTGAAATCATTCACACTGGTTCAGATGTAGTCATCATGTTTTATCTTGAAATCTCTGGTGTCAGCTTTATCCATTAATTATTATCATCTAACTTCAGCCACATGGTTATGTCCCTTTTGCAACCATAATTTTAACGCTTGGTTTTTATTCAGTTTATTTCCGTTTGCCATTAAAATATGATAAACGTTGGAGGCTCAAATCAATACATGTTTTCTTTAGATTTCATATCTTCACCTTTTCTTACTAATGATTAACTGGCAACTAATGATATTCTAAATGCTAGACATTGTTTATAAACTAATTTGTGTAAAATATCAAGTATTTCTATCTCATATAGCCTAATTATTATCTAACTCTGTGATTTTATATATATAAAATAATCATTCTGTTGAAATTCAATCATTTAAAAAATGCTACTATTAACATAGTTTATTCTGACTTGTATTTAGGCTACTACTGTTTTGGTATTTTACTACTTAATACTAATAACATAATTAAATAACCAGTAACTATTATTAACCTGACAAATGATAACAAGATGACGAAATTTATTAAATTTTATTTATTAAATAAATCTTAACTCGTTTAATCAATTAGTTCAAGTATGAGACACTAAGAGTTCAGTATTAGTATTGAATAAAAGTTGAAACATATCACGATTTGGTAGAAATTGATTGATTATACTGCTAGATTCTATTTCATTGTCTGAACGTAATCTTACTCATCACAATAATTTCAGTTGTATACCCAATACTGTTTGGATTTTTGACATGATAATGTTGAGTCATAAATATGAACAAAGCATACATTCATTGTTATCTGGTTTTTATTTGTCTTGACAGTTGATTCTATTAGTTTGTGGTGAAAATCTAATGAGAAATTAATTTTATTATTCTAAAGATATGCTAATGAATAATGAACAAAGTCAATTTATTCAAATTGAATAAATCAATTTTTACTTACTCACACCTGTTAATCCTCATGGAGCATTAGCCACCAACCAGCATACTCCAACCAAATCTATCCTGGTCTATCTTCTACAGTTGTTCCCAATCACTATTCATTCCTTTCTTCAGCTCCCCGCACAATGTATTCTTTGATCTTCCTCTCCACATATTATTTTCAGAATTATGTGTAGCGGCTTGTCTTATCACTCAGTTTGGAGATTTCCGCCAAGTGTGTCAGACCCACTCCAAGTGATTTTTTAAAATTTCTCCCTCACCTGTAATATGGTTCGTCCTCAAACACTATAGACTGATAATGATGATATCTGGCCAAAAGGTCTCCATAATATCCTCCTTTTCACATAATAAAATGCTCTTCGTAGTCCAGTAGGTTAATGAACAGCGGTGAATTCCATCCAGTTGATTGTTCCACAATGATCTGTGGAGTCGCGATTTGGTCAGTACACAGTCTATCCTTGTGGAATCTAGTGTAATTATCTCGAATTTCGGCATCTATTGAATCTTCCATTCTGTTTAGAAATGCTATGTTGGAAGTAGTTCCTGATATTTATAGTAATATGACACACCTGTGGTTCTCGTACTTGCTAAGATATCCTTTATTTGGTATCTTGTGATGTATAGCCATTTCCATTCTGTTGGTACTCATTCCGTCTACCAAATCTTGCTGAAGAGAACGTGGAACATATTTACAGTTACTATCATGTCTGCTTTCAATGCCTCAGTTGTTATACTGTCTGGCCATGCTGCTAAACCACTCTTGACTTGTCGGATGGCCATGCTGATCTCTTCCGTTGTTGGTGGATTAGCGTCAATTGGTATGCAGTAGATGATGCGTCGATGTTGAGTGAGCTTAGTTAGGCTGGTTTATTCATAGTTCTCCAAAGTCCTCTACTTACCTGTTTCGCTGTCCTTGCAACTCGGTGACTGCTTCCCTTCGGTATTTTGACTGCTCGTTCTGGTTTACCGTATTTCCAACCGAACTTCTTCTTTGTATCATACAGTTGTTGCATGTTTCCTTCTCTCGAATCTTTTTCCGTTATTTTCGCTAGATCTACAATTTACGCTTACCAGCTCTAATGCTCCACTTCACTTATTTGTGTATTTGACCTGCACCTTGACTTTCTCTGATCTTGTTCGATTGTTATTGATTTGTTCTTCTTCCTTTCTGTCACATCTATTTGTTCTCACGTTTTCATGGTCCTTCTGAACCTTCTAATGATGAAGATGTGATCGATTTGATTCTGTGTAATGTGATCCGATGGTGCCACCTATAATTATTTCGTTCAAGGTGCATAGATTTGCCGATCTCTCACCGTTTTCATTCCATTTTCTTAGTCCATGTTGTCCCATGATATCCTAGTTTGCGGTTTTGTCCATGCCAACCTTGGCGTCGAAGACCTCAAACTTGCTTGGACATTTTTCTTCTATTGACTGTAGTCTCTCACAAAACAAATCATCTTCGTCGCCGTCATGAGTTGGTGCGTATCACTGTATGACATTCATTGTAATTCCTTCTTTCTTTGTCTTGAAAGATGCTTAGATGTTCCCATTCCATGAGTGCTTTTTGTGACTCTTTGACTGCATCAGTGCAACTCCTTGTGTATGAGGCATTTTATTCTTCATGGTTGGAGTATGGCAGAATCTCTTCTGAAGGTAATCATTTTCGTCCAGACTGCGTCCAATGTGTTTCAATCATTCCAAGCAACTCCAGCTTATTTCTTTTTTCCTCAGCAACGTGGATGGTTCTACCGACCTTCCATATTGTGCGAATGTTGCACGAACCTAAATTAATTGTAGCTCTGGCTGTCATGAGTAGCATCGACCTCTTGACTTCCGAAAGATCTGCGCTTTTATCGTGAGGCCTCATGGCTGCACGAGTAGAGTTGAAATAATTTGTTCTGGTGTGCGTTCTTTTAGCAAGTTAGTTTTAAACAGGATGGAGTTGGTAATCGCGTGCCTAATCGTCCTCCTTTATTTGGACTTGGTACCGGCAATAGCCTTCGGTCTTTTCGCGGAGTTATGCTACTATTTTGGTTCATCAAATATATATTTTTATCTGAATAACTTAAATTAGACAATCAATTTTCACAGGATCCAACTGTAACGACAAGTAACGGAACGAGTATGTAATGGAACTATTCATAACATTCATTCATTGTTCGGTTCATTATAATATTTCCAGAACAATAATTATAAATTTGAAATAATATGCAATTGAACATTACTAATTTTTAATTCTACATTAAATTAACGAAATCTAGGAAACTGTTCATGATTATTCAATCAGAATTTATAAAGGAAAGTATATTAGTTATACAGGTATATACGTGCTCAAATATATTTTCACTCAGACTAATTCAGTAAATGATTTTTGTGCCTATCAGTAGAATATTGACACAAAAATGCCTTCATATTTATTTGTGAATTGTTTTGCCTGTTAATGGAAATTTTTCATAAGGTGAATTGTTTATTCATGACCACCAGTAAAATGAAGCAAACACTAGATTTTCGACTCAAACATGGCTTTTGAAAGCAGAGAATACTTGATTATTCATATCTTCAAAACATTAATCACATACCATAAAACAACGAATCTTCACTGCACAGTGTGTTAGATATACTTTACCTCGATCTACTCGGACATTCAATGCTAGCTGGAACTGTAGATTAGGAGCAATCAATGGCCAGGGTAACCGTTGGTCTAGACATTCGGTAAACGCATCTAGAGACATGAAAAAAGAACCTGATATATTTTACGAGCCCCGGAGAACAGTTTTTGTGCAAAATGACAAAACTAGTAAATGGATAATAGTTCAGCAGACTGACCTGAAGAGAGTTTACTGCCGTTTAAACCAAGGTCTAAAAATGTGTTTAATCGCATAGCCGTTAATTTTTTCAGGTACAACGAATAGCCACTTTCTGTCGATCGTAGATAACTTTCCGTTATTTATTCTTTTCTTTAGCATTTATCACAATCTCACTTATAATATTTTGTCGATTTGATTACTAGCGTCCACTGGTTCCAATTATGTAACATCATTACGTATAATAAATACTATTAAACTCTAGATGAATTAAGATCAGTTTTAAGTTCATAATGAAGTTCTTCTTTTGGTTAAACCAATACAGATCAGTCTAAATGACAATTATTACCACGTTAAGAAAAAAAACAATACATTACCGATTTTATTTTTTAATCAGAAAATTTTTTGAACCAAACAACCAGTGACATTTGGTTACACTTATCAACCAAATAAAATAGAGCGAAATTTTTTATTTATCATGGGTGTTTATTGTCTGTGAAGATTCTTCACAAACACGAACAAATCAAAGAAAGACAATGGTAATTTCAACATAACAAAACGAAAGAGTTGAAGAAGTAGGCATGTCTTTAGTTAGAACAAACTAAGGACAAAAATGTGTGTGATATGAACAGAGTTTTTTAGTATGGATACAAAAAAAGTACCACGATATCTGTATGAACAAAATGAAATTATAAAGCATTACAATAACGACTGTAGGCTGTACAAAATTTTACGCTTATCTAGAAGACAAACAACAGTGAGATATTTTCATACAATCATACAAAAAAATATTAATGAAATCACTTTTAGAATGCAATTAAGAACAGTGTGTTTGAGTAATAATTGTATTCCCTCTTCGTATAGTTTGAGTATGACAGGTTTGTTGACCTACAAAAAAACGTTAAACAATACAGCTATTATTTTTTTTTCATTGAAGAGGTTACTTGTTAGAATTTAGAAGGGTAATCAATGCACATACATATTAACACTACTCTTAGACTTTTTCGATTGCAAAATAATGACTAGAAACAGATTGTTGTTTTCGTCAATCTAATATGCATTCGATGCCACAAAGACACCTACCTTTCAAAAAGAAAATGGTTTCGAAACACTATGATTTAGCTGTGAGATGCGGCCGCTAAAATTAGATAAAATGAGGTTGGAAGCGTTCGATCACAACGCTTCTCAAGTAGTTTTTGTTCGGCAGACTTCTGAATTGTTATGTGATGAAATAGGAGCTTACGAAATCGTCACTTTATTTATAATCAGTCGGGAAATGGTTATTTGACCAAGTTATTAGACCTCAGATCGGCATGCAATAAATAAATAAATGCAACTGTTTAACTTTGACTGATTTGGAGCTGTCCGCCAAAGCCTTCAACCATTACATGAATCCCAATCACACAATTGACCTGACTTAGACCAAAAGTTAATAAATCATGATGTGATGCGATATTCGATGCGTCTGCTCTGAGTTTTTTTCCAACCCATTCAGCATCGCATGTCGTGGGTAACACGTAACATACTGAATTCAGTAAATGAAAGTGTGTATGGTTTTAACAATCAACTTGTGCTCTTTGGCTGATATAACACGCCTAACCTTAGCATTACTGACGTGATGGTCCATCACAAAGGAGGTATGTCCTAGGATAACTATAATGACGTACTTGAAGCCTAAATATGTATTTTACATTCATGGATCATATTTCATACCACTTACCTTGATGTTTAAATCCATGAGATTCATCTGATGGATGGAACATACTGCCAAATGATGAAAAGAAGCCATCATCATCACCTTCATCGTCATCAAATAATCCACGGAAATTAAAGAACGAACCATGATCATCAGTATGTCTGTGCTGACGAAACATATCAAAGTTTCGGAAGAAACTGTTAAAATCGAAATCTGGAGCACCACTACCTCCAGGCTGTTGTGTATAATAACTATGTCCAACACTATCATACTGTTTACGTTTTTCATCATCAGAGAGCACATCATAAGCTTAATAAAGAGAAGGATGAAGCAAGATACTGAGTACTGTGAAAAGATTATACAAATTATACATAAAATCCCAAAACACAGTCTCCTTAAACATTGAACGGTAAAATGAAGATAAAATTACGCTTTTACTATTACAGCAGGTCACTGGAAATTTGAATGGTAAGTACTCACTGATACTTTCCAACATAAATTTGAAAGTATGTGGAGTAACTTAGTAAAAACGTATATATTTGTTAATGGATAAATGTATCTTAGTAGTTAAGTACGGGTTCGTAGGTTGGGCTTTGAGCTTCAATTCTAGTATGCAATCTATAAATAACATTTGGATGTTGAAAGAGAACTGAAATAGTATCAGAATCTGCAAGCTATTGGTCCTCAGCTAAGCACTAAAAACCTTATTTCACAGTCCCAAGACGTCGACTTTCACAAAAAGTAACAAAGTGAGGCCATAATATTCAACCGAATGATAAATAATCATTTTTGGTGGATTATCTACGCGAATGATAATAAATTTTTAAGATTTTTGAACAATAAGTACACTAAGTTAATAAGTTCTAGTGAAAAATAACTGATTTTGGAAGGCCGCAAAAGATTTTTGGATCAATCTTAGTAGTACAGTTGCAGGTGGATAAGTTTCCCAGTTATTCGTTAGAAACCCGCATACGGCAGCACATTTATACCATTTTTCATAGAAGTAATATTTATTTGTTTGGAGAGTTCCTACATGACTGAAAGCGAAAACTAGTATCTAGTGCTTAATTTTGGTCATTGAATACTCAGAGCTCATCTGGCGAGGTTAGAAAATCTTAGTTGGAAACCAATGGCGCATGTAAGCCTCATGATTGTGACGGCACAAATTGCTTACAATATTAACTCGGTGATAAACTATTATAGGACTACATCTCCTGACGTTGCCCCAACACACTGTGAAATAGACCTGTAAGTCGTAACTCAGAATGGGGATTTTCTAGGACAATCATTTATTTTGATTAGGGCGACCGGATAGGACTATAGGTCTCACCAAATATACAATATTAAATCATTAGGAAGGATACATGGCATGGCCCCAGTGAAACGATGGCACACAAAATCGTGAAGTGTTCCATATTTTTCACTTGATTCGGTTTGGGTACCCGGTCAGTATCCCAGCCCACACATAAATTCAGTGATATGTAAGGTGCATACATATTTAGGTGCCTTTTCGTACCAATAATTGTGTTCAAATAAATAACCGAGTCAGAAAGACCAAAAGCATCTATATTATGATCACCATTACCATTTATTTACTTAAACGTATAAATGCCGGTACAAGTAAGAACCGACATACATATACACTGAACAATAAAACTGTAAAGAGATGGAGGAAGAAGAGTGGGCATTGTCGAAAACAATAAATGGGTGAAAATAAGCAGAAATTAAAGGAGAATCACAGCAGGATCACTAACTACCTCTATTATGAATCATATCTGACAACATATCAAGCCACTAAGTTTCCCTATCTTTCAGAACCACACCAAGTACTCATAGTGAACCGACAGATTCCAGTCCTGCATAGTTATCGTTCATGCCCCTGCACCACATCCTAAACGCATCATTCCTATGTTTTTCTCAGCCAGTCGGCGTCGACAAATAATACACTATGTGGAATTTGCTATGATGATATTCATAACACATATCCAAGACATCGAAGCCGGTATTTCAAGATGGTAACACCTAATGAACCAAGGAAACTATGTCCGAACACATATTACTGAACCTTCAAATTACTAGCATGGCGTTGTCATCCTCCGGGGACACCCTTCACTTGGAGACCAGGTTTAAAAAGTACAATGCGAAACTGTTTATTCAGAAGCTTTGTAAACCCGATCTTTAACAGTCAGAGTGACATTATGTAGGAGCTAAAGATGGCACATATCAACATAGGCTGCTCTGGAATCTGTTATTTACAAAGTGATTTCATTACACTTCCACTGAAATCTATTAGCCATGGGAAGCTGTTTAAAACTATCAGGGCTATCATCAATAAGGTACATAGTGCCAGTGAAACAATCTGTGAAGTTATTGGTGTGGCGTCATCTTGTACTCTGGACAGAGCAGTCTGAAAGACATTGATTTCAACCCAGCCGTTTTCTATGGTTTGAACAGTGGCCGTTAAATTCTCAAAGAGACTTGCGTCGGAAAGGAACTCCACATGCTAGTACCAAAGGCCACTGAGTACAAATGGTCTACTTACAGCCTTTAACAAGATAGTGGTTGCATTTCTGATCAGAAATCTGAAAAAACTTTGGAAATCTATGAGGAATTATGATTTAAGACCGAACCCAATGGCTTTTATAGTGCGTTTTATTTGTCAGCGGTGTGATCAGAATGTTTTGCCTCCAAATGCCCAGCTGTCATGAAGTCACTGGCGAGTGGAATGAGTTATGTTGGTAAGTGTAGACTACTAGGTTGGGGTCCGCGAAACGATAGTACTGATGGTTGGAGATCTTGAACAACATGGCTCAAAATCATCTGCAGTGGCGCAGGTGCATGCACTCTTTATGTTCTCTGAAATTCCAATCTTCTAAATTCCTCATCACCTCTATCTTTTTCTTTCTAAATTTGTCTCATTGAATTATGCTTCTTGAATAATATATTTGATCTGTAATCTTCTGCATTACTGCAAATACTTCGACCATTACGTCTCTGTGCTAATGTGGTATGGCGAAATGCACTAATGAACGTACGTACGAAGTTCTACGTTGTAAGTGACTGACTGAATACCTTAGTACGACCGAGGGTGGGGTCAGCTCTTAATTTTAAAATGGTATCCTATAGTCGCATGTACATTGCCACTGCCACAGAAGTCCCACTCCTTTCCACTGATTAGGACGTTGTTTACGAAACTGATAGGACGGGAAGTAAATGTCCGGTGCCTAGATCAAGTTATTTGATACGGAGCATACACTTAAGGGAGTTGGTAAACCCTGATTCTAAAGCAATGGTGCATATAGGGTCCAGAATCGCGAAGAACAAATAGCGTACGAACCCATTCTTGATCACCAGCCACCATGGGATTGCATCTAACGCAGCTGTACTGCCTTGTAGATTACATCTGTAGATCAAAGACAGGGTGCGGCCTCCTAAGAAAACTACCTGCTTCGGTTCAAGCACGCGGTCAGCATTCCAATCAATAATAATACTGGTAAGTTTATAACCTGGAGGAATGGAATAAAAGACACCTACTTATCCATGAATCCCGACCATCGCTGCTACCATGTCGTGGTGGTCGGGCTTGCCTACCGTTATGACCCAACCGAGCTATATTGGCTGGAACATATGTTCCTGTAGGTCCTACCATGCCAGGTAGGTCGATTTGAGAACGATGAGACTAAACGCAGCAACTCAAGGTATTGGAGCCAAATAATAATGCTGACTGTAGAGGGGTGTGACAGAAGTAAAGTGTCTCCCTCGGACAACCAGCGTCTGTAGCGATGCTGCCTTCTCACAAGGAAGAAATAGTTAGAAAGATCGACGCTACAAATGTTATACCTCACCTTACCTCACGGATTTCCGTCTCCGGTGGTAACGCTCACACTTTAAAAAACTCCCATAAAAAGGCCGTGCGTAACCAAACTCAAGTAAATGTCCTTTCTGCCCTGCGATCACGCTCTCGGGTCTCTAAGACCAACACTAATCGACCTTCCATTTAGGGCTCTTCAAGAAACACCCTTCCACTGTGTGGGTGACATTTGCCCTCATACATTTAAAAGCACATGAGACCGAATCGGTCACAATCAAATCCCTCTTACATTCCCTAACATCTCTCTTATCTCCACGTCTCACCCTGCACTGTAAATGTAAACGATTCGAGTTTACGAAACGTTATTCTTGGTCTCCTGAAACCCCGTTCTAAACTACATGTTGGAGCTTTTAATGTACGAACAATGTGTCAAATCGGACAACAGGCTTCCCTGGCTAGGACTTTAGAATCTTGCACCATCGATGTCGCCGAAACGCGCATACAGGATCCTAGCAGCGTCATTAATTTGATTTCGAAAGAAAGAACCAGCAGGATTGACTCTTCGTGTTTGTGGAAGCCCTGCTGCTGATTCCCAAAGTCTCGCAATTGTATGTATAGCTTTGAGTCCTACGGAAGAACTAGCGCTCCTAGACTGGATCCGGTAGACAGCCACTTGTGCGTTGTCCTACTAAACGGGACAGTAAGGACTCCGGAAGATAGGGACACTCGCCGTTGCCTCTTCGTAATATCTGCCTACGCCCTAGTCTATACGAGATAAAATATGAATTTTGCAGAAACCTTTCTAACCTTCTTCAAAAAGTTAAGCGCTCTGATATAGTAATAATGGTTGGTGACTTAAATGTTCAAGTAGGTAGATTAAGTGAAAAGGAAAGATAGCTGGGTGAATCTTATGGTGTCGCAGCTCAGAGAACAGATAATGGCGACCGTCTGCTACAGTTATGCTCAGATAACCGCTTATTCCTAGCAAATACTAACTTTCAGCATAAGGAAAAACATTTTTTAACCTGGCGACCCTGAAAGCCGAACCAACTAGATAACATCGCTATAAACCATCGGTGGAGAGACTATTGACGACAGCCACTCATTCTGGAACACTTGTTTAGATTTAGACCATGCTCTAGTGCGAGCACGTATTTGTTTGAGGTTTACTGGACGTAGGAAAGACATCGTAAGGAAATCTCTTAGGGTTCTACTTAATGATAATAAAGCTAAGAATATATTTCATGAACTAGAAAAAGTTAGACGACCATGTAGTAGTAAGCGATGCCCATCCCGAGACAGCTTGGAATGATATTCAAAAAGCTATGGGAACAGCAGTGATATCTGCTAGCAAGGCAAACCACAAGCTTGGAGAGAAGCGGTGGATTTCAGTAGCATCCACCGAACTGATAGACGCTCGAAAATTCTGAACATGATGAAGAGCGAAGTCAGCTTAGACGCAGGCTGATAAAAAGACTACGTAGTGATCGCGAACAGTGGCGGGTGGTGAAAGCAAGAGCGATGGAAAAGGCAACGGCAATAGGTAACAGCAGACAACTGTTCCACTCAATCAAGGAAACTGGTACAGGAAATACATCTGTTAGCGAAACTAACTCAGAAAAGGATGGGCTTATGATCCATTCTCAATCAAGGGGATCGAATCGAACAGCAGAATACTTCAGGGGTCAGTTTAACTGGCCTTCAGTCACACTTCGGTTGCCCACATTCTACAATCATCCTGAATGGCAAACAGATATGAGTCCTCCGAGCCTATACGAAGTTGAGAAAGCTATAGGAAATCTGAAGTGAGGGCGAGCTTCAGGGCCTAACAGGATCACCCCAGGGATTTTTAAGGATGATGGTCCAGCTTTAGCAGCTATATTGACTAAGATCTTAGGTAGAATCTACGAACTGGGCATAATCCCACCTGACTGGTTTGAATCACTGATTGTCTCAGTCTATAGGAAAGGACAAAAGTCCTCTTGTGAAAATCACAGAGGAATCAGTTTAACTAAAATAGTGTCTAAAATATTGGCCCAATTATTACTTGGAGGTTTAACTAGAGCTCGTGACGAGCAGACTAAAGAAAATCAGGCTGGTTAACGACCTGAACGTGGATGTACAGACCAGATATTCACAATATGTCAGGTCCTAGAACATAGGCACTCGTTCCGACTCCCTACAATCGCAGTATTTTTCGACCTTAAAGCGGCATTTGACTCTGTGGATCGTGACATTTTGTGGGAGTGTCTGTCATTAAAAAATGTACCGGGGAAGTGTATTAACCTTATACAAGCCCTTTACTCGAACACCACTGGTCGGATGAGAGCCTATGGCGAACTGTCATTGGAATTCTCTGCTTCAGGTGGTGTCCGTCAGAGCTATCCACTCTCTCCATTCTTGTTCAAATTTGTCGTAGAGATGCTTTTAGAATTAACATTATCTTCGTCTGAATTTTCAAGAGTGAATCTTCTACCAGGAGAGCCGCTTGTTGACTTAGAATATGCCGATGACATAGTTCTACTTGGTGAAGACGCTGACTAAATGCAGAGTCTTCTGACTACCCTAAGCAATAATGCAAGCATGTACGGGATGCGGTTTTCCCCCTCAAGTTTCAAAATACTGCTTCATGATTGGCTTCTATTGGCACCTGAACCAGTGATAGAAAGTGAAGTAGTCGAACGTGTAGACCGCTTCGCTTATCTCGGGAGTCTCATCATCACGGATGGCCTGGTGACTGACGAAATCTCAGCACGGATACAGAAAGCTCGACTGGCTTTTGCAAACTCGCGTCACCTACGGCGCGGGCGAGATATCCGTTTGCGAACCAAAGGATGCAGCTACTGCACAGCAGTTCGCTCTGGCCCATTTTACGGCTATGAAACATGGCCAGTAAGAGCAGAGGATATCCGTGGGTTATTAGTATTCGATTAAAGATGTCTTCGAGGCATCGCTCTTATATCCTGGGACAGTCGAGTAAGCAATGCTATAGTTAGGAAACGAGTACTACGTACGGATAGTAAGTCAATAGATGAAGTACTGAAACTTCATCAGTTGAGGTGGTTGAGACAGTTGTTATGAATGCCCAACTACCGACTACCTCGACGAGCGATGTTTTGCAGCGTAGGAGTAGGTTGGAAGAAACGTAGTGGCGGCCAAACCTAAACGTGGCACAAATCAATGAAGTCACTGACGAGTGAACTGAGACATGTTGGTAGATGCAGACTACCTGGTTGGTGTCCGCGAGACGATAGTAACCAATGGTTAGAGATCCTAAACGACATGGCTCATAGTTTGCAATGGCGCAGGTGCATTCATTCATTATTCTCTCAGACTCTAACCTTCTGAATTCATCATCACTTCTACCTTTCTGTTTCTAGATTTATCTCACTGAATTATACTAATTGAATAATATCTCCGATCCCTAATCTTCTCCATTACTAGTAATACTTCTACTATCTCCACCACCATGTGATTTAAATTAACAATTGCTTCTCTTTACTAATATGGTATGGCAACCTGAACTTATGTACTCGTGTACGAAGTTCTACGTTGTAACTGACTGACTGACCTAAGTTACCATCCCTACATAGTACTCGTTTCCTAACTATAGCATTGCTTACTCGACTGTCCCAGGATATAAGAGCGATGCCTCGAAGACATCTTTAATCGAATACTAATAACCCACGGATATCCTCTGCTCTTACTGGCCATGTTTCATAGCCGTAAAATGGGCCAGAGCGAACTGCTGTGCAGTAGCTGCATCCTTTGGTTCGCAAACGGACATCTCGCCCGCGCCGTAGGTGACGCGAGTTTGCAAAAGCCAGTCGAGCTTTCTGTATCCGTGCTGAGATTTCGTCAGTCACCAGGCCATCCGTGATGATGAGACTCCCGAGATAAGCGAAGCGGTCTACACGTTCGACTACTTCACTTTCTATCACTGGTTCAGGTGCTGATGCAAGCCATGAATCCTAAAGATCGCACAGAATGGCAGTTTGAGATGTTATCATACATAACAGCTAAAACTGCTATTTTCGCTTTTGCATAAAAGATAAGAGTTGTCTCAATGATTTGACTTCAGTACCCCTATTTATTAATGTGGGTCATTTTTAGACAGTCTACCATATTAGGGTTTGCCTAACATAGTTCATTGAAAATAAAGGTTTTGTTTAATGTAAATATAAGCAATGCTATAGTCAATAAAATCGATTTTACGTTAAGACTGAAAAACTTAGCACCTTTTAATCTGAAAAGTTTTATAAACTTATAACGATAAAATGATTTAACTCACCTTCAGCAATCTTTACAAACTTTTTCTGTGCATCTTCATCTTTATTTTTGTCTGGATGATACTTTAACGCAAGTTTACGGAAAGCTTTCTTAATTTCACTATTTGAAGCTGATTTACTTATCCCAAGAATGTCATAATAATCTTGTTCAGCATTATTTTTACCAAGTAAAAATTCAAATGGGAAAATAACAAATAAAATGAAGTATCTGAATAAACCCTGCATGACCGGGACCTGTAACAAAATAAACAAAAGTAAAGAACCCACTTAAATATCAGTTCATCAAATAAAGTACATGATGTCCAATTCATTATTAGATTGGCGAATAGAAGCCTATATGTTGAACCTCTAGCTTATTAGAACAAAATCGAACGGCTATAGAACATTCGAGTTTAAAACACAACGCCTATTGATTCTGCATCTAGAGGCAAAGCAGAGTTGTGGCTTAGTGCTTTTGCTGTTCAACTTAACTGTTGCATTACGGATCAATCTAGCTCGACGTCTTTCACTATGAATGGCTAGCAAACGTGGTGAATCTACTAAGCATATGTAAATGAGAGCCGTACTTTTTGAAATGTAAGTGATCGATCAGCTGAAACTATGGATTATAGCCAGGTATATTTGAAATCAATATAATCAGGATAAGTAACCAATCGTGTTCCATGATATTGAGGAAAAAAAATACCCAAGTCATTTACAGATTCTTGAGACTAAACAATGGCTGCCAATGACTAAAAAACCAATTTGACTTCCAAATCTATCATATAACTCTATAAGTGTAACCGATCATAGCAATATCAAGTCATATAACGTATTTGTTTATCAAAAATAACTTGGCAGTTAGTAGGAGTTTAACTCCCGCTTTTGCAACCAAAATACTTTATCAGAGATATGAATACTATTAAACATGATTTCAAAAGAAATATTTTGGACAATGCAGCCTGAAACATTTGCCCCGTTACTACGCCGTTGTTCGAAAACAATAAACTAAACCTCTAAGACTGATTTATTTGAAGTTCTACAACTGATAGAAAACACCACTAGAGATCAGTGAAATAGATCGCGTTCATTAGAAATTCCCGGGGGTAAGTGATTGGCACCATTTGGCAAGAAACAACACAGGTAACGCAATAACTGGGACTCTAAATACCAGAAATGACGTAAAGAATGGCTGTGGAATGACTTCTAAAACCTAGTACAGATAACACATATGAATAAATCACGGATTGTTAAGTTTTTGATTAAATGGGGATATGTAGACTCGTAGTAGTAGTAATAGTAAGATCTAAATAACTTCTAGATTTTATAGTTGAGGGTCCATAGTATATATTCTTCATAAATCTCTGAATTTAAATGAGCGGAACTGTCAATGAACTAAAATGCTGAGACAATCTAATCCACCCCTTACTTATCCTTATGCCGACCAGAGACCTTCAGGATTTAAAACTGACACGGAGACGTGTGCTTGGATGACCTACGATCTAATATCTCCAATATCCAATATCTTTTTCACGGGCTAGTATAAACCAATTGATTTTTTGCGCTCAATTCTTGTCCTTTCGGTACGGTTCCAAGTTTTTGACAGTGTCACGACTGTACAATTGGCAGTCGTCAGTTGTTTGTGAGTTTGTATGTCCTGTGATTTGAAAGAAACCGTTTGCTACGGGGCAGTAGGGTTTCTAGAAACCAGCAGCTATGACGTTACCTAGCCGGAGATCAGTTGTTGCAATGTGGAGATAATTATGGAGGAAATTCTAATGCTAATGAAAAGATTTCAGACTTAGGCCGCCCACCAGTTTTATCCTACCAACTCTGTTCTGAGCTTCCGTCTCCAGTTCTGTCCAATGTTTGTCCATTCCTCTGAGATCTTTCTCTATTTCTCGACGTAGTGTGTTCCTTGGCCTTCCTCTTTTCTTTTTAACTTGAGTGTTCCATGTGAAGGCTTGTCTCGTGACGGAGTTAGGTGCTTGTCGTAGTGTGTGTCCTATCCACTTCCACTGCTTCTTCTTGATTTCCTACTCCACTGGAATCTGGTTTGTTCTCTCCCACAGTACGTTGTTGCTGATTATGTCTTGCAAACAAATCCGAAGTATTTTGCGAAGACAACTGTTAGTAAACACTTGTATCTTCTGGATGATGGCTTTCGTAGTTCTCCAAGTTTCCGCTCCATACAGTAGAACTGTCTTCACATTAGTATTGAAAATCCTGATTTTGGTGTTGATTGAAAGTAGTTGTTTGGAGTTCCAGATATTTTTCAACTGTAGAAATGTAGCCCTTGCTTTGCCAATCCGCGCCCTCACATCTGCATCCGATCCACCCTGATTGTCGATGATGCTGCCCAGATATGTAAAGTTGTTAACGTCCTCGAAAGCATCTCCATCAAGCGTGATTTGGTTGGTGCATGTTGTGTTGCATCGGAGAATTTTGCTTTATCCTTTATGTATGTTGAGACCTGCTGCTGCAGAGGCTGCTGCTACACTGGTCGTCTTCTCTTGCATTTGTTTTTGCGTATGCGATAGAAGAGCCAGGTCATCTGCGAAGTCCAGATCGTCCAGCTGCGTCCTAACTGTCCAGTTGATACCGTGCTTCCCTCCAGATGTTGACGTCTTCATAATCCAGTCGATGACCAGGAGAAAGAGAAAGGGTGAGAGTAAGCAACCTTGCCTCACACCGGTCTTCACCTCAAAAGAGTCTGTCAGCTGACCTCCGTGCACGATTTTGCAGTTGAATCCATCGTAAGAATTCCGTATGATGTTGACTATTTTCTCAGGCACACCGTAGTGTCGAAGAAGCCGCCACAGTGTTTTCCTATCCACGCTATCGAATGCTTTCTCGTAGTCGATGAAGTTGATGTAGAGTGGTGAGTTCCATTCAATTGATTGTTCCACAATGATCCGTAATGTAGCAATTTGGTCAGTACATGATCGATCCTTACGAAATCCAGCCTGTTGATCTCGAAGTTGGACGTCTACGAAGTCCTTCATCCTGTTTAACAATACCCTGTTGAAGACTTTGCCTGGTATTGAGAGAAGAGTGATGCCTCTGTAGTTTTCACACTTGCTGAGATCGCCTTTCTTTGGTATTTTGATGAGGTATCCTTCTTTCCAATCTGATGGTACTTGTTCCTCATCCTAAATCTTCTTGAAGAGGATGTGAAATATTTTCAAAGTTGATTCCACATCTGCTTTCATTGCCTCTGCTGGAATGTTGTCTGGTCCTGCTGCCTTGCCGCTGTTGATTTGTCTGATGGCCATACTGATCTCCTCAATCGTAGGTGCGCCAATATTTATTGGGAGGTCATTGGATGCTGCTTGGATGTTGGGTGTGTTCAGTGGAGCTGGTCGACTCAATAGTTTCTTAAAGTGCTCTACCCACCTATTTCGCTGTTCTTCAGTTTTTTTGATTACTTTGCCCTCCTCACTTTTCACTGGTCGTTCTGGTTTACGGTAGCTTCCAGCAAACTTCTTCGTTGTATCGTACAATTGTCTCAAGTTTCCATCTCTTGCAGCCTTTTCCGCCGTCATTGCTAGATCTTCCACATATTTTCGTTTCTCGGCTCCGATGCTCTTCTTCACTTCTCTGTTTGCTTCTGTGTATGCACCTTGTGCCTTAACATTCTCTGCTCTTGTTCGGCTGACATTGATTGCTGCCTTCTTGTTCCTCCTTTCTTCAATTTTTGCAAGAGTATCAACAAACATCCATTTCATGTGATGGTACTTCTTGTGACCCAGAACTTCGTGAAATGTTGAGGTGATTGCCTCCTTGATCCCTCTCTAATTGTTCTCCAAAGTTACGTCCGCTCCATTGAGTATATCGCGCAAGGCCTGGAACCTATTGGTGAGAGATATCTTGAATTCGTTGAGTTTTACGGTATGCGGAAGAAAGGCTGTATTAAACTTCTGTGATGTTGTCTGACCCGTTGTCCAGTGCTCCTCTAGTTTCAGTTTCATTTTGACGATCAGCAAGTGGTGATCTGAGGCTGTCAGAAACTCTTTCAGATCTCACAGCCTCCATTGTCTTTCTGAACGTTTTGTTGATACAGATATGGTCAATTTGGTTCTGAGTAGTGTGATCCGGTGAAAACCATATCAGTTTGTGCACGTATCTGTGTGGGAACACTGTGCCGCTGATGACCAGTTTGTTGAAGGTAAATAGGTTTGCAAATCTCTCACCGTTTTCGTTTCTTTCTCCCAGTCCATGTCGTCCAATGATGTATTCATATCCGGTGTTGTCCATGCCAACTTTTTCATTCAGGTCTCCCATCAGAATCGTCAGATCGTTTGGTAGGCATCTCTAGACGATTGAATGCAGCCTTTCGTAGAATTGATCTTTAACGTCGTCATTGTAGTCATTGGTAGGTGCGTAGCATTGGATGTCGTTCATTTTAATCTCCTCTTTCTTTGTTTAGAAGGATGCTTCGATGATCCTGGGTCAATGCGATTCCCATCCTATCAGTGCCTTTTGTGCATGTTTGGACAGCATCAGTGCAACTCCTTGTGTATGTGAAGCATTTTCCTTTACATGACCAAAGTATAACAGCAGTTCCCCTGAAGATAGTCTCAGTTGTCCTACCTGCGTCCAATGCGTTTCACTGATGCCGAGCACCACGTGGTTGTATCTTTTCATTTCTGCCGCAACTTGATTAGTCTTCCAGTCTCCCACAATGTACGAACGTTGCATGTACCTAACAGAATGGTTTCTGTGATTGTGGGAAGGGGTATCGGCCTTGTGACTTGTGAAGAGACTCGGCTTTCCTCATGAGACGTTATGACTCTTCTGAATGAAGACCTTCTAACACTCAGGACAGAGTTAAAATGGTTTGACTTATTTTTTCTGGTTAGCGTTTTTTTGGCAAGTTAGTTTTTGACGGAATGAGGTGGCCCACCCCACGTCCAACCCTTCTCCTATACCCGGGCTTAGGACCGGCAGTAGCCCCGAAGGTTCTACTGGAGGACTTGAAAGATTTCAGAATTCAATAAATAAATAGATAACTTGGTTTATTGGTTGTCATTGAAGATTGTGAGAGAGGACCGAAGTGTATGTAAGGTAGAGGAAACGGAGATCATAAGCAAGACAGATTACGTTAGTGATCTGGGGAGATGGCAATAATAACACCTAACAGGTCTCAAGACATGCACCAAGCGCAGCATGTCCACAAGGGCGATGATAATCCGTCTGTGAGTGCTTGTCTATCAAGTCTATTGTTTAAGCTATACACTGAGGGGGCTGTGGTCACTTCAGCTGCGAGAGCATTCCTAGTTGCAGTGTTTCTTAATGAGTAAAAGTGTGCATGAACCTGAGTATTCTCTGTTTGACGCGCAATTTTCTGAGGATCGCTCATTGAGGTGAAACTGCCAACACGAAAAAGTAATTACAATAGAATCTCACAAACTAGGTAATGAAGTATTAGATTGGCAAGTTGTCGTCGGTCAGCTGTAATTATTTCGATTACTAGTCAGGGTCAGGTCACATCAAAACAGAATAATCCGTTAATTTCTAAAAGGCTCACTTCACGAATCAGTGATATTACTTCATAGTAATTCAACTCACGTCACTTTTACTATTCGGTATGGTAAACGAAATGACTAAGAATTTTCCATGCGACTGAATTCTTTCTGATATTGACCTTTTTGTTAGTTTAATCACTTAAAACCGATTCATATCATCAGTATGACCTGATGCCTTTTGTTCCATAGGCTTGCATCTGTAATTTATTGCAATATGGAAGTATCTTCCTTTATTTTTTACAACGGTTTTCATTCAATTGTTTTTTTTATACTCATCGATCATGAACAGGTCTCAATTGCTGCCTAATTTTATTATTCTGTTGAGGGAAAACATGTCTTTGAATGCTAATTTATTTGGGGCTCAAGATCACATATGTAGAACATCAGAGAAGCTACAGATAACAACCATTGTTCCTCTCGAACTTTTCGATTTTTTTTCATCATCTGCTATTTTGTTACCTAAACATTTCAGAGATTTACGAACTGAGTTGCTTAATGTTTAGACTTTATTTTCTATTAGACCGAAATTGTACGAACCACTGACAATTTTCCAGAGGGTTATATCAATCATTAGCATCAATTCTTCTGACAGTTTCAACAATGTAGTACTATGGTCACCTCACCTGAATGCATGTCAGGCATAAAAATCTTTTTCATTTTCAGACTACAGTGACAGGTCAGTCAACGTTAGAGTAGGAACGAAGCAATCAGAAATTTCTTCAAACTTTATTTAGTAAATCAACCATGCTATTTCTTGAGAGTTGTTCATGTTTTTGATTCTTTATACCACATCTTTGGCAGTATTCTTGCGTTTACAGATGAATCAAAAGGAACTTCAAAAATTTTATTCAAGGATAGAAAGCTAAAGATGCCTTTCCTGAAGTGAAGTTAATAATAGCTTTGAAGACAATATTGATTTTTATGGGTCTTAACCTAATTGAGCTTCGACCTT